CAACGGACAAGCCCAGAGCCCAGGGCTTTGTGACAAACCTGAAGAAGGGAAGCCAAAAGTGGCAAAGTTTGGAGGGGACAAAGGGAGCAGGGAGGATAACCATATCAGCTTGTGTTTCTGGGACCACAAATTTCTCCAGTGCCCAAACAAGTATCTTCTCCCAAGTCTTCTTCCCAACTCTTATTGCTCCTGTGCTGTTACCCCAAGTGCCACCCAACTGTGTGTCTCACCTCTCACCAGCTCTGCTCCTCACTGAGGACAACAGGCCACCGCTGCTATCTGTTATATCAGAACACACATTTCTCATTGCTGAGAAATGGCAGCACCAAGGCTGGCGGTACAACTGCCCTTCAATGTCCTTATGCATATGAATTACAGTTGAGTCTTTAATTATGTGGCCACAGATTTATTTTCCACAGGACACCTGCAGCACACAGGTTAGACGGTGCTCTGGATGAGTCTGGGCTGTGTCATGAAGAAGGCTCTTTGCAGGGACTCAGCATCATCTCTCCCTTTTTTTTCCTAAATGTGTGAAGAAAATGGAGTGACTCATTGCCGAGACAGTTGTGTCTTGGCCTGGATCCCTGTCCCTGCCGCGGGTTTCCTACCTGATGCTGAGCCGAGTCACTCACAGCAACCTTTTCAGAGGTAGCTATTAGCTATGTTTTATTTATTTTGGCGTTTTGCTTTGTTTTTAGCCTTGTGCTATCCTGGGATGCTGATGTCTCATTTGCAGGAGTATTTATTGCTCCCTGCTGCATGTGAATGGGGACTTGCACTTGACTGTAAAAAAAGGCTTTAAAATGCAGAGTGCTCTGGCAAAGAGCTCAGATCAGCATCCCCACCTTGCAGGCTGCATTTGACCTTCCCTCCAGGAATGCTTGGTCTTCTCTAAAATGCTATTCTCTTGCTTGGTAAGAGTATTGAAAAGGCAAATCCATCTGGGAATTACTGAGAAAGTAGAGTGTGTGTCCCATAAAAAAAGATCCTGTGAGCATCAATCATTGTTTTTGAGTGGGGGCTGCATGTTCTGCATAAACTGTGAGTTAACACTTCAAACAACTCTCTTCTGCTCTGTTGGATTTGTCAAGCCGCAGGTACCTGCCTCCTCAGGAACATCTGCTCTTGAATTGCAGGTGGAAATGCATTTTTTTCTCACTTCTCATCTTTTCTTGCTTTCACTGGCCTTGCAGAAGTAGAACTTCAGCACAGAGTCAAAGTTTTCTCTGCTGCTTCCCTGATTCCTCACACTTTTCTAGCACAGGCAAGCTTCTCTGTGAAGAAGTGGCTTTGGTCTTCAAAGCTCTCTGAATAGCGGGTGAAACGGGATTCTGCTCACAGTAGATCAGGCAGAGCTGCCAAATGCAACCTGGCATTTCTCTGACACTGGAGCTCAGCTTTCCCACAAGTTCTACTAGGTGCTATGAATATCATATACGGTGACACTGGAAGGCCACCCAGCAGTGACACTGTGAATAAACAGGGCAACCCTAGCCCTTCTTCTCCTTTCGTACCCAAGGAATGACACGCAGGCAGTGGTGAGGCTGGGTGGATGTTCAGTGAGGTAGGTACAGCCCTCTTGGACACACCAGCCCACAAGAGTCAGCCCAAGACACATTGCTATGGGTTCCTTCTACAGCCCTGCAGTCCGAACACTGGAGACTGCTTGAGGACCTTCCTGATAGCAGCCACAGGGTCAGGAAGCAGAGTCACCCTGTGTGGCCCATCTTCTCCTTGCCTACCTTCAGCAGCAGCACTCCCTGGATCGTCTAGGGATGCTTTGGCCATATCTGAACTCCATGAAGGATGTCCCAGGTGCAGGTCCCTCCATTGCTAACCTAAGGGCCTTGGCTGGAGCCTCAATCCCCTTCCAGGCTCTACACCCAAATATCCTTCCCAGGCAAACCTGGGAGAAGGGATGAGGTGAGGCCTCCTGGGATCTCATCCTGGCATAGGGTCACGAGTGCAACTATGGCTCACTGCTGGGTCTGGGAGGTTAGACAGCCTTCCAGGTCCTGTAGTTTAAACAAAGTCTTAACACGCCTTTATTGTTTTATTCTGGTGCCTAATACAGGGCTAGACCTTAAGGAATGTTCATTTTTTGGAGCGGTGCAGAGAGAGAAAAAGATGCTTGTGGCTACTGCTGCACACCAGTTTGGTAACTGGAGAGGAATGGAGGTGACCCAGCACAGATCAGATTGTGAGCATGGATTCTGCCTGTCCCTCAAATTTCTTCCCATCCCATCCCTTCCCAACCCCAGCCTCTCTACTCGGGGTCCTGCTGCTTGTGTTATATAGAACACCTACCTTTTTTAAAACACTGGGGCAGGAGTTACCTGTTAGAATCATAGAATGGTTAGAATTGGAAGGGACCTTAATGATAATTGAGTTCCAACCCCCTTGCCATGGGCAGGGACACCTCCCACCAGAGCAGGTTGCTCAAAGCCCCATCCAGCCTGGCCTTGAACACTTTCAGGGATGGGGCAGCCACAACTTCCCTGGGCAACCTGTTCCAGTGCCTCACCACCCTCACAGGAAAGAATTTATCCCTAATATCTAATCTAAATTTCCCCTCTTTCAGTTTAAAACCATTACCCCTCGTTCTATCACTCTGCTGCCTGACAGAGTCCTTCCCCATCTCTCCTGTAGCCCCCTTCAGGTACTGGAAGGCTGCAATACAGTCTCCCCAGAGCCTTCTCTTCTCCAGGCTGAACAACCCCAGCTCTCTCAGCCTGTCCTCATAAGAGAGGTGCTCCAGCCCTCTGATCATCTTCATGGCCCTCCTCTGGACCTGTTCCAACAGGTCCACCCTGTCCTTCCTGTCGTACCCCTGGAGCACTGACAGTCTTCATGCAGAGAGGGTCCTGACGGTACTGGCTGCTACCCCCGTAGCCAAAACCAGCAGCCCCGGGCCCAGGTTGCTAATACAAATCACTGCATAGGAAAAGGTGTAACTAGGCAATGCTTGGAGAGAGGAAGGTGGGTGTTATTAGATCACATGGCTAGCCAGGCTAACAGCACTAAAAGCTTGATTACAATTCAATTAAGGGAACGTTTCTAATTAAAGAGTTCTTATTTTAAGCCCTAAATGATTAAAATAAAGGTAGCTGAAGTGTCCGTACACACATTCTTATTTCATCCCCCAAGGGCTGTGTCTACATTTGGGATTTCTTCAAGTTCCCTCCTGCCACCTCAAGCCAGCAACAGGGGGAGAGCTGGCATGGCCACCGTCCCCCCCAGACCCTACACCCACCTGCCAGGCAGCCTCACCCCAAACTCTGCTCCCACCGGCCCTGCTGAGAGCCCACTCTCCGGGGATCCGGTTGGGATCCATCCTTCCAGGAGCCCTCCCCGTCGGAGCTTGCCTCGCTCAGTGCCTGTAGGGGCCTGTCTCTCCCAGCATGGTGGTGGGCGGCGCTGGGCTCCAGCAAATTCCCTCTTGGCTGATGTGCACCCACCCAGGGCGGGAGGAAGGGTGAGCCTTCGGCTGGATTTGGTGGCGGTGGCGTATTTTATTACCTGCCTTCCCATCTGCTGGCTGTTACGTAAGCTGGGAAACGGCGGAGGTTCAATGGAGCATCATGTGTAAGGAAATGTCACTGCTCCCAAAAAAAACTCAATTAAATTTTAACTTCTTGGGGTGGAGACAAAATTCTGTGATAAAACTGGCCGGGCAGTGACAGAGGGAGACGGCGCTGGTTCCCAAAGGGTTGCATAAAACTGGGAACTATTCCCAAATCCCAATGGCCCATCCAGTCGGCACGGGTGCTGACTGGAGGCACACAGGAGGGAAGCAGCGGGGTTCAGGGGGCCCACCATCTTGGTATGACTTGAGTCAACAACTGCTTTCTGCACCACGCAGGGCTGGTGAGGCTCCAACTTGGGCCTCTCGGTGCCAACAGCCCATGCTTACATTGTGTGTTTGGAAGCTGACATGGAAGCCCTGGCCTTGATGCACCCAGGGGGTGGTCTGGTACGGTGGCTCTTGAGTTCTCCCCCATCACACTTATCTCCTCCACCTCCACTCAACTGCAGGAACTGCAATTATTGACTTTAGGATGACTGTGCCCATTCAGCTCCTTCCTAACAAGGCATCCCTGTGGCTGTGAAGCTCGGCAGTGCCTGGCTTTTGACCCACCACCGTCCCCTTCCCTCTCACCCTATGCTGGCCTCCCCCGGCACTCCTGCTCCCGGAGCCCCCCATGGCTCCTGCTTCACCCATCCAGCCCCAACCTCTCACCTCCCGGGAGCCCAGCCTGGGCTCCACTCCTGCACCTCCATGTGGGTCCGATACGCCCTGGATGCCTCCCACCCTCCAACTCAGCTGGCTTTTCCTGAGCTGCTCCAGGGCCCCCTGAGGCGCACCGTGGCCACCTGGCCCCCAAACACCCCAGGGGTAACCCTGGCTTTGGCCTTGTCTGCTGGTGGGCACCCTGTGGGTGCCTGTCCCTCCATGTTAGGGTTTAGGTGTGTATGCTGACACGTGGGTGGGTTTGTGGGTGCATCACTCAAGGGGTGGCCCCCCGCTCCCAATGGGGGACAGGCTGAGGAGCCCTGACCCTCTCTGTTGGGTTGAGGTGTCTGTTCCTGCTGGACCCCCTCCTTGGCATCCGCCGCCATCGCGGTGGGACCGGGCACCCTTGTGTGAGGATCCCCATGTGGGACCAGGCGATGGCGCCATATTGGGGCTGTCCCCCACACCATGGTGGGGTGCCACGGGTGGGCTGTTGCCCCACTCCCCCCTTTCCAAAAAAGGAGAGAAAGTGGGGAGCCGAGGGGAAATGTCCCCCCAAAACCTACCCCGTGTGGGGGGGGAAGAGGGGGTGCAGGCCACCCTCCTCCAGGCCGGGTCTGAGGGGGGTATGCCGGGCGGGAGGGCAGCGGGAACGGCGGCGGGCGGTTGCGCCTTTAACGGCGGGCGGAGGAGGAGGAGGAGGAGGAGGGCTGGGGCTGCGCTGGGTGACATCAGTGGGTTTGGCTCCGGGGCTCAATGGAAACTGGGTGAGCGCCGGGCTGTGCCGAGCACACGCCGGCTGGAGGGGACGGCGAGCGGGCGGGAGGCGGCAGGCAGCGCCGCGCCGCGCTGAGCCGAGCTGAAGGAGGGACGCGCCGGGCACGGCCGCCACCAGCCCTCCCCAATCCTCCGTCATCCTTCCTGCCGCGACCGCCGGGCCCCCTGACAGCCGGCGGAGCAGCAGCCCCACACGGCTCCCTTCCCGCCAGGGTGGGTATGGGGGGCGCCCGCCTCCATCTTGGGGCGCAAACCCCGGGGGAAAGGCGGCCCCTCCGGCTCTTTGTGTGCG